GTCTGCAAGCTGACATACCCAGATGTGCACCGAGCGTCTGCAAGCTGACATACCCAGATGTGCACTGAGCGTCTGCAAGCTGACATACCCTGGCTTATCAGCCCCTCCATCCCTAAGGGGAGCTTTGCTGTGCATCATCGTCAGCACGCTGTCAGGTATGATTCAGCATGTGAAATTCAGGTGACCTAAACCACACGGGCCACACCGAACATCCCAGCAGGTAGACGACCGCATGTAGAGTCACATGACCGACTTTGACTGTGAAAATCTACCAGGGGGTTCCTGGGATGGGGTTGGTAGCCACTGGCTTGGCTTTCTGAGCTGCAATCTCCTCCTCGGTCATCTCCTCCTCCTTTGGCTCCTGAAAGTAAATGGAGAGAAGAATTAACAGGGACACATACAGAAACACACACACAGACGCGCGCGCACACACACACACACACACACACACACACTAGAGGCTCCAATTGATTGGCAGGAGATTTAAATCGGCCGATTTCCAGTCTTAATTACTCGATCGGCGGCCTTTAATTTGACCGATCTCAAATACCGATTTTGTGGATGAAGCCACAATTAGGGACACTCCAATCCACCGATCATTATCTGTAGATCTTCATTCTAAATCGTCTGACTGGAGCTCTTTATAAAAGCCAATCAGATTACAAAATGCGCGTCTCTCTGCGCGGCAAAATAACAGCGATAAAATGGCTTCACCTGCCTGACAGTTCTACAAGGTGCCCAAAATAGACCAAAAATCGCTGTATGCAATGTGTGTGAAGCAGAAATCCTTTATGGTGGAAGGACAAGCGGTGGTGGAACGCAACAACTGGGCTAAGATCCCCCTTACACCCCCGTGGCGTTAGGCAATTGGTATTGGCCAATTTTGATTCCAGTGATCAGCAGTTAGCCCCAAAAACCCTGATCGGAGCATGACTACAAAAATCACACACAATTTTTATCCAAATAAAATCTTACAAAGATCCAATGAAAGTGACGGAAGGAAACACCTACTTCTTTGGCCTCTTTAGGTGGTTCTCCTTTGAGCTCCCTGTCATCCAAGCCCATGAGGTCCATGTCCTCCAGCGAAGGCCTATCCTTGCCCTTCCCCAGGTTCTTATCTGGGACAGAGGTGGACAGTCGTTACCGTTCAGGATCTTTACCGAAAACCAGTCGTTCAGATACAGCCTAGTCAAGGCAAAAGTGTATGGCCTGAGAGCCGTTAAATTCCACCCTGATATTAGGTGAAGTGCTGCATAACAGCAAACGTGCTTCTAGAAGTGTATCTGTGAGTTTCCAGTCCCTCAGCATTATGCTTTATTCACTTGACAAAAAATAAAAAATTATGGGGATCTTCCAAATTAAACTTAAAACAGATATTTAGTACTTATGGGGACCATTTAGAGTTTCCAATGCCTTCATCATTATCCTGGTAAAAGCCTTTAACCAGTGTTCATAAAAACTTGAATTTTACACGTTACCCAATTACTCAGCTGGGTGGTAATTAAAGCAATTCGGTTTAATTTAGGTTAGGTACCTTGCTAAAGGGTACAACAGCAGTGCCCTTCCCTGGGACTTGAACCTGCAACCTTCTGGTCACAAGTCCACTTCCTTAACCACTACACCTCCAGCTGCTCTGCTCCTTGAACACAGACTTTAAGGAGACATTCATAGCGTGAGGCAAGAAAAGATCAACTTCCTTGATATATTAAATAGTACACAGTTGCCCATGCAGAAGATTTGCAAATGAAGTGCAAGAGGACAGCCAGATCATTTCCGAAACCGGAAATCCGCCAGCGACCTCTACCAGCCGAAGCAGCTGTAGGCAAACGGACGAATCTGGAGCAACCTAACGTCAGACTTCCAGTAGTGCGTCTCAAGTGGGGAAATGCGAGGTCACAAGCACAATCATACGGCTCAAGAACACCATGCATCGTGTGAAACACCTGTACTCATGCTTTAGGGTCTTACAAAGGTACTCCGATTAAGATAAGCATGTGTAGCATTACGTTCTCTAATATGACCATGAGATACTTTTAAAACTATCCCATTTATTCATAAAATATGTAAACGATGCATTAGGTGCCAGTCCTACAAAGACCCATGACGATTTACAGCCTCTGTGCTCTAAATGCCATCGTCTTTGAAAACCCGGAACCACGAAAAAAAGGTTGGGAAAGGGAAAAAAGGGGAGGAAAGGGAAAAAAAAAAAAGGAGAGAAAAAAAAAAAAAGAAAACCCGGAACCACGAAAACAAAACTTACGCACAGGAAGCTAATCAGTAGTGACAGCAGAACTTTACCGACCAAATTAAAACAAAGGCCGATTGTCAAAGATGAGTTTCTGTACAAGGGGCAGAGGAATAAGCATTAGGTCTACAGCTACAACAGGCATCAGTCTGATACAGTCGCGGTAGACTTTCCCCGAAACGTGCGTCGTCAGATACTGGGACACGCGACAGCCGTACCCTGGTATCGGTTAGCATGTAGCCTGCAGTTGTCAGGCAAAAGGTGATAAATTATCAGTCATACAACCATTGCTAACTATGGAGAAACTTAGCTCTACAAACATTTGTTTTTTCCAATGACTATATAGATAAAACTAAAGAGATCCAGACTATTCATTCTCAAATGTTCATACTGTCAAAAGAATACTGGATATTCCAGCCATGTAATTAATTATTTTAAAACGATTTATGTTCCTGCTCATATGAAATACATTAAATCTGTTTTTGACTTGTACAGAGCTTTTATCTAGATCCTTATACTGGAAGCTGTGTCAGCTTTAAGGGCTGGTTCCACAAGAGATTCCATCGTAATATTAAGATCCATCCCTAAAGATCTGGATCGGCCTCTGCTCATAACTCCACAAGAAATAACTACAAGGGAAATCTCAGGTGTTTTTAGTCACAGACAACAGTCACAGCCACCTTCGGCTGTGCAGAAGGGTCAACAAACAGATGCAGACCCCAGAATACAGGGCGACCCTCAGGTCCCCTGGTTAGCGCCCTCTAGAGCTCGACGCACGTAAATGCCCAAGGCCAGCCATGCTTCTCCAAACGGCGGCATACCTTTCTCCTTCAGCTCGTGAGGCCGGTCCCACGTGGACTCCAGGGTGCGGTTGTTGTAGTAATAGGCCTTCCCGTCAGCGGTCTTGTACTCGGACCACTCCGGGAGGGGCGGCCCACCAGCGAGGGGGGCTGGCGTAGCCGGGATGGCAAGCTGTGGGTGTATCATGGGAACTAGGGGAGGGGCCAGGCTTGGGAGCATACCTGAAAAAAATTAGGCAAAAAACTCATGCATGCCATTGGCTTCCAGCAGTCTATAAGCCACACCCTGCTCAGAGACCCCCTACAGGGGATAAAGAGCCCAGCTTTCGTAAGATCCGGGTCAAAGTCGGACAGTCTTCAACTCTGTACCAGCTCAAATTGGTTTGTCTGTAAAAGTTTGGCATTAAAAATAAACACTATTATGACCAGACATCAATGAGCCGAGGACTTAGACCCAGACATTATCATTAAGCGTCAATTTCTCTTATTAAATAATGCAAAACTCCATTTTTAGTCAGTCATTAATTCTGAGCTGGAGACATAAACTCTCAGGGAACGGCACAAATTTCAAGAAACCGTATGGTTCAGTTATGTTAGATTGTTACTTTTTTTTTTTTTGGAAGACAAAGGACAAAGAGTGACAGCAAGTTAGCATCACACTGAGCATGCCATAACGGTGCACGACACTGACAAAGAACAGGATTAATATCATTACTGAAACAGGGGGGGGGGAAAACAGAAGAAATGAAAGACAGCACTAAGAGCTGTGTGAGACAGGGGTGAGCATTTACTGATGGGGGAAACGATATCCGCTAAGATACAAAATCAGCAAACCTATGTGTTCTGTTTTGAAAAAACTGGATGTGTTTATAGGACTGCAAATAAGCTCAGAAAAAATGTTTTACAGAAACAAATGGCGAATTTCCCAGCAACTTGGGAATTTATGCTAAACTACTTTGTTACATGTAGGGTGGAAATACATCATTGGTAGAATCAATGGTCCTACCAACCATTCATAAGGCAAGAGCTAAGGCTGGATTCAGTCTGAAAACTCAATCACTGCTACTGAATCACATTTTAAACTAAGCTATAATCAGGAAATAACACAATGACAAAAAAGGGTTTGAAGCCAAACTTGTAGTTGAAAAATAAAGCATGATTAAACCATAATATAAAATCTCAAATGTCTTACTGATTTAGGGTTAAAATCTGTTAAAAAAGCATGGTTCCAACACACTAAAAATTAAGCTATAATCAAATCAAAATCTACAGCATTAAGTCTGAGTGTTTGCACATAAAATAAAACGACCATATTTTCACAACATTCACTAACATGCCAACTAACAGAAGGACACTGACTGTAGACGTTTAAGAGAATTACCGTTCTTGTTGGGAGCGATTGTCTTTAAAAAGGGGCTGCTGACTATCTGCATCATTGCTACGCCTGCAGGAATGGACAAGCAAGCATATATTGGGTACGGGAGAGGGATTGGAAAGGAATGAAGGAAAAAGAAAATGGGAAAAAAAAAAAAACAATCAAAAGCCAAGTATAAAATACAGTTGCATTAACCCGCCTCCCAGACGCGCAGGTTGTTTGGCCAAGTAAATACAAAACACCGACAAAACATACCATCATGAAAAAGAATCCAGACAGATTTGCCTGAACATTTTACCTCTTCCCTTGAATTTCAAAAGGAACAAAAAAAAAGATTACAGCACGACTTATAAAAAGACTTGATTAATCAAACTTTCAAATCTAAATCACTTTAATTACCAGTCTGATCTCATCAGTTTCAGAAGTTAAATGAAGAACTGAGCGATTTCTCATCTTGGGTAACCAGCGGCTATGAACCACTGAAAAGAGACAAGGCTGCCCCCTACAGGCCACTCATACCACATTCCCCACTGTGACTTTTTGAATTGGATAAATAGACCTAGGAAGGCACAGAAATAAGAGGCAAATTCTTAATAATGACCAGTAATAAGGACTAAACAGTGAATGGGGAACAAAGACAAGTGGAGAAAACGGATGAGGTGGAGAGGGGACGCCGGTGACGATGACGGCCAAGAGGGCAGACTCACCGGGGAGAGGGATGTGCATGCTGGGTAGAGGCACCCGAAAGGGGGGCACCACGACGGGGGGGAAGGCGGGGATGGAGGGGGCGGGCTGGGCCACGCTGTGCGGCAGCGCAGCCGGCAGGCTCTGCGGCAGCAGCTGCGGCATCGTCTGCGCAGGCGGCGCGCTGGCCGTCACCGTGGAGACGCTGACCACGGCGACCGGGTTCACCCCGACGGAGGATGGGGCCGTCACCACCGGGGGCAACTCTGGGGCGGCTGTAGGACGGGTGAAGAAGTGAAACAAAGAAAAAAAAAAAAGTGATGGAAACCCAATGACATCACGGGGAACAGGTGCGGCCAGACTCTCACTCCCATGATGCAACAGGTCTCCACGCATCAGCAGGATTACGAACGCAAATGTACAGCTGCAGCTATTATTTTTAGAGAGATTCCTACCGCATTCATTTATTTCTCAGGGATTTGGAGTAACCCACAGAGTATTTCAGTATCTAAAATCAATTAAGTAAAAATGAAATTAAATGTTCCATTTGCACAAAAACAAGTGCAGATACACTGGAATACTTCTTTTCACATATCCCATCACGCTGTCCTTTAAGACATACACAGACATACACATCTGAGAGTGAAGATTGGGGTCTGAGTGCAGGGTCGGCCGTTTATCCAGCGCCCCAAGAGCACTATAAGGGGTTACTGGTCTTACTCAAGGTCTCGACGGACATGTGACTATTCTGCCAAGGTGGTTCTTCCACTCACAGGCACAGAGGTCTAACGTGTGTCACATGTCATCCCTCAGCTATTAATGTCACTTGCTAGATTAAAACAGCAGAGGGCGGACATATTTAAACCACATTACAATTTGCCGACGATTACGGCCGACAGACGGGAAAGCGCATAAAGCTAAAGTAAATTTGTACGACATATATAACGAGAAAGGCACAGAATCATCGTCCCAGTACGGGAACGGATCCTACCGGCGATGGGCTGAGCGCCAGCTGGGGTGGGGGCGCTGCTGGGGATGGGGCTGGTGGTGAGGGAGGCCGAGGGAGCCTGGGTGGAGACAGAGACGGGGGCGGGGGCAGCGCCGGCCGCCGGGAGGCTGGGGGAGGCGCCGGAGGGCGTGGCCGTCTGCGGTGGCACCATCAGGGCGCTCAGCTCCGATTGCTGGATCACCTTCACTCCCTCCGGCTTGTTCCAAGCCGACTCGCGCGTCCGGGCATGGTAGTAATACGGCTGGAGGGGGTCACGTGACCAGCAGGGGTAAATGTGGGCCACCGTAGCGCACAGGGGGCCAGTTAACTCTGCGCTTGAGACACACCCCCACGTGCATAGCGCCAAAGGCGGCATTTTAACATACACCTTTACTTGACCTCTCACTAACAAACTCAGAAATGAGGTCGACATGACCCATCTGACCCAAGACCTCAGAAAAGCTGATGCACGGCTGCATCACTAGCGCCTGATAAGGACACTGCTGTCTTAATGCTGTACCTTTCCTTCTGGGGTCTTGTTCTCCACCCAGATCTCCTCAGCAGGGGGCGGCGCAGGGGTTCCGGGAGCCGGCACGGGAGGCATCCCCGGGGGAAACATCATCCCAGGGGGCGGAGGCAAGCTACCCATTGGCGGAGGCATGAAGGGCGGTCTCTGGAGAAAACAATTGACCAATGACACCCAATTCAGATCCACGTCTGAGAAAATGTGCAATCTTCAGGTGACGAACCAATATCATTAACCAGTATGCTACCCACTGATTATACACAAAGAATTTCATACCTGCAAGTGTGGAGGTCCAAGTGGTGGGGGCACACCTCCAGGAGGGGGTATTGGCGGCATACTGGGGTCAAAGGGCAGTCGCCCAAAAGGAGGACGTGGTGGCGGAGGGGGTCCCCTCATCAAGCCGAATGGTGGAGGTGGAGGTCTAAGCAACGGGGGAGGGCCACGCATAACTGCGCTGGGCGGCGGAGCTGGACCACGGAAATGCGGCTGCGCCATCCTGAGCAAGCGGAGAAGCTTGTGTGAGAACGCCGATTAAGGAAGGACAGGCTGACTGTACAATGCCGTCCTCGGAAGCAGATCGCGTACTGCAAACAGCCTTCACCACACCAGGAACACAGCAACAAAGGATGAAGGAAAACGAGATGTTTAACATTTTACATTTACGTTTTCGGCATCCGCGTTTTTCATAACATGTAATCTGTCTGCATCACAAAATCTGACTTTGCGCAGGTGAACATTTCAAAACAGAAATCCTTATGTGAAACGACACTTTCGTTACGATCCCCTTAATGTACGGGGGGGGGGCATGCTGACGCACAGGACTCGTACTGAGAAAATCACAGTTAAGTTAAAACAACGAGTCAGAACCACCAGTTCCATGTCTGGAAACAAACTTTGTTAGACGGTGGCCCAAGTAGTATAACGATGCTGTCTAGCCAGTTAACGCCTTCGCGTGTAGGTAAGGCAGGAAACTAGCTGGCAAGGAACACCTCCTAGTTACTGCAGGAATCGGGCAATCAGAGCCGAACGAGGCCGCAGATTCATAACTAACCAGAAGAAAGCACCAAACGACGGCCTGCCATTCATTCGCTTCAGCACAGGCCAAAGCAGCTCTCGACATGTAACTGAACCGCATGCTTTCACTTATTATTGTAACTCAATACATGCTGACCCAAGTAAAACAAAGATACATGCAACATTTCTTACGCACAATGCTGATGTTGGACTAGCTACGTGGCTAGCAAGCGAACAATTTGCAAACAAGCCGTGCGTATGGAAGCGGCCGTGTTACCAACTAGCTACGATGCTAGCTAACCACAGGTGTCGTATGAAGCGAATTCAATAACGAAATTATTATCTAGATGGCAGCCGTATACCAAAACAGAAATGAAATATCGGTCTACTGCTTGAGTGACTCATTAGACAGTGCCTTACTGGTCGTCGTGGAAATCAATACCGTCTCCCTCCCCGTGCTCCGCCATTACAGAAAACTGAGAATAACAATTGACCTTCCGGCGAACCCTTTACGTTTCCCCATGGACGAATCCTATTGGCTAAATTCTATGTCAATCAAAGAGCGACATCCTACTGTCTCTACGGTAAGATTACAAACGTAACAATTAAATGCTGACTGTAAATAACCGTACTTGAGATCTTTTTGTTGTTGCGTTTAGTGACAGAAAACCTTTTAATTTGTAATGCCAGAAAAATCGGAATAACATAACTTTAGAGTTAACAGACGGCCGAACTAGTTGTTTGGATGTACGGGCGCATGAGTTCCCAGTAGATAATGTATTTATGAACATCCATCACCTACGATTCGCAATTGTATGTTTTAGTGGCTTTGAACGTAACACGACAATGCGTTCGCTGCAATAACTCTATCCAGTATCAGCTGTGATTCCTTATGTTTTACGTTCGTTGATTGATTTCTCATTAAAAATAGTTTCCTATGTGTAGGTGTCTAGGTGACATATTTCTTTGTTAATGTGTTTTTTTATCTAGATTTGCCTTCCCTTCCCATGTTAAAGCTTTTATTGCATTTTTAAAAATTCAGTAAATTGAGTACAGTCTAACACACAATCATATATTCATGAAGCAGTTTATTATCTTAACTGTCCTTCATAATGAGTAATTACATCCCAGTTGTAATTCTGGCAACTGACCTTCAACACATTTCTTTCGTCAATATATTGTATTTTATTACAATAAACACGGTAAATCATAACACTGTAAATTCAACCTCCGTGTCATCATCAGTGACATTAATCACCTGCAAAGAGTCATCTGGGGAGGAAGAGTTTACATCACTACCCATGACAGACTCATTAACATTAAGTGGAGCTAAATGAAGGAATCCTGTGGTGGGGACACCCTGACTGTTGCTGGCCTCATTACTCTCTGCACATTCCCGGATCAGAGGGTTGACCACTGGGATAGTGTATTCCGGGTATCCATACACATTGTAGGGGTAATAGAATGAGCTGAAAACAAAAGGCAGATTTGAGAAAAAACAGCAAGATTGTAATTAATATATCACGTTAACATAGCGTTTGTACATAACAAAGACACTGAGTGAATTTATCTCTTGGGCTGACTTAGCGAACTGCTTAGTCCAAAGTTAATTGCTTCTCCTAACAGAAGTTTTGACATTAGGCTCGTTACAGTTGCCTTCATATTGTCTCCAAATTCTTACCCTCCAGCGTAGAACTGTGGAGCAGCCATGAACAGAGGTGGAGGGAACAGTAAGCCAGCAGGGGAAATGATTTTGGATGAGTGTGGCATTATAGGATATATATGAGGATTGATTTTGTAAAGGCTTGGCCACTGCAGACCTCTGGAAGAAGGCTGCATGCTTATATAAGACAAATCTCTGTACAGCTGCAGGGAAGGACTGCTAAGAGGCTGACTGTTAGCTTTCTTATGGACTTGCTCATGTGTTGTCTGCCCTGCCACCTGAGAGAATGACAGGGCACCAGATATGTCCATGTAACCACTGGCCTCAGTCTGTGCAGGCTGCTTAGTACGGAATGTTGAAGGCAGGTCTCCACTGTAAAATAAGACAGTGGCTGACTTGCTGGTCTGTGCGTTCTTAGAATCCTGAAGGACAAAATTCCTGCTATGTCCTAAAAGAAACAAATCTGTTATTAAAATTATGATAAATCCCACATATCCATTGACGTAAACGTTTCTTTTTGCTTTAAGGAAATGAGGTAATAAGAATTTGCACTTTAAATGTTTTTTTTTTCTGACAGCTTTTAATGTGCTGCAACCAGTGATTTTTTATATGTCATATTATATACAGTTTTTGGATTAATCAGCTAATTCTCTTTTAATGAGAAATAAATTTAAATAATGGCACAATACACTTGAACCTGAATGTTCACATCATATTTAGCATTTATTTTTCCTTAAAAAGTTGCATAAGTATTAACTATAGTTAATCAGGGCTATAGAGATTTTAAAAATGTTTGTGCATAAAGTACTGCTGTGAAACAGCATCCCTGCTTGACAAATGCTGCACACATTACTTTTTTGAGTAAAAAAAGGCCCACACTTTTGATGCAATACACTGGATATACAGTGTATTGCATTCTGTTAGATGTTAGATAGAAATATGTGTTAAATAACTATATGAACATAACAAAATTCCATAAATAACAAGTCTAAAGTAAAAATTGATGGGTTTTCATAATCAATGTCATTGACTAATTTCCCTGTCATTTTGAAATGAAATTGTACAATTTCTGTGCCCTGCAATGGGCTGGTGCCCTACCTGGGGTTGTTCCTGCCTCATACCCATAGCCTCTGGGATTGGCTCCCGACCCCCTGTGACCTTGAATAGGATACGCAGTTACAGAAAACAGACAGATGGGTGGATGGTTTGATTGTATATTTTCTGGTACAACCACACAGTTTTAAATTGCAAGCTTAATAAATATACATCAAACTAAGTTTAATTTACCAGTCAGGCTGTGAAATAGTCAATAATATACTCAACACAGGGGGTGGTAACTAAATTGCCCATAGGTATGCATGTGTAAGTGAATGGTGTGTGAGTGTGCCCTGCGATGGGCTGGCCCCCCGTCCTGGGTTGTTTCCCGCCTCATGCTCGTAGATTCGGGGATAGGCTCCGGACCCCCCGCAACCCAAAAAGGATAAGCGGTTTGGAAAATGGATGGATGGATACTGAACACATCTGATATATCACACTTTGCATGTTTTACACATATAAGCAGCTTGTAGGAATTACCTTTAGTAAAACTGTTTTCTGCAGTTGAGCTTTTGCTGGTTGAAGCAGTGGGAAATGGAGAATAGCATGCAGACCCTGACCCACATGCTACAGATGAATCTTTGGGATCTTGGGAATTACTGGAAGCTGTTGAGCTAGTCTTACCAGGAAAGTAGATGTTTCTCTCCCCAGGCTTTGGCTGATAAGTCAAATCTTTAAAGATGTGAACATAGCAAAAAAAAAAAACACACAGCTGAACAGAGTTATTAAAATACATATGTACATACTACATTTCCTGATTAGGAATTCAGCTTTTTAGAAGTGTATCCTAATTTGTTTGCAACACATTGGGGAAATATAGTCATATTCAATACAAAATATCAGCAGCTTATAATTGACCATAAATTGTAAATGTCAATATTTACAAAACAGCTTTGTTTTTTCCATTTCACAGTAAGATTAATTCTCTTGAAAATCCATGATGAACTTGATAATTTAGATTAAAAATAAGTTGACAGCCATAGAAGGGGGCTGAATTTAGTTACTCGTTCATTACCAGGGACCTCCTGTCTGTACTGCTGTTTTATCTTCCAAGCCTCCTCATAAAAAGGCATCTTCTCCTCCTTGGACATCTTGCTCCACTTTAGTCCGAGCAGCACACTGACTTCTGTGTTGTTGGCGTTTGGGTTGTCCTTGGCCAGCTCGCGTCTGTGATTTCTTGCCCACACCATAAAAGCATTCATGGGTTTTTTAATTTTTTCATTTCTGTCTTTACTCCAAGACATTTCAGAAAATCCTTTTGAGAAAATAAAACTAGTAATTAAAAAGAGAAGAAATTCTCATACAGACAATACAAGAAAACATAGCGTGTTGGGGAAGTTACTCATGAAATAAATCCATTACAGACAGAGGGAAAGTTCAGGTCCAGAAGGAACAAATCCAGACCAAGATTTTGTTTCAGCCAATCTGCTGAGCACTCTGTGACTCTTTATGTTCGACCGGCTGGTTGAAACAAAATCTTGGTCTAGATTTGTATACTTGCTGGACCTGAACTTTCCACCTCTGTCTGTAATGGATTACTTCTGTAATTTCCTCAACACTGTACAAGAACACATATTTATAAACACATTGTTTATGTTTATTAAATCACACCCACGATACAAACAAAACGCCACATATCTAGATACATATGTTTCTTTTATGTATAGATAAGAATTTAAATCCCAAGCATCACGGACTGGCTACCTCCTTCAGAAGGCGGTATGGTGTGATTCAAGTCCCTGCAGTCAGCTTCTGCTTTGACCAAAATCGCAGGCCCAGCTTCGGTCTTGATCTTCGGGCTTATTGAGAGAGGGCGAAGAGGCACCCGGCTTAAGCAGATCGTTATGTCGCCCGCCGTTTCTACCGTTAGCGGGTCATCGTGAGCGTCAGTAACACCGGTAATCGGCTGGCGGGTGACGTTAGAGGAAATCAGCGAAGAGAGATCCGGTAGCTCGCCGTACATACGGCTTTCTGAGATGACATTTGAAAACCCTGCCTTGCCAGTTTGACAGCTAACGGAGATGACACCCCTGGCCGCAGAGCTTTTAGATGTTCCGGGTCTTTCTGTGGTTATCCGCGGGCTGTCTATATCACCCCATCCGACCGCTGAAGTGCTTAGTGAGGCGCTATACTTTCCGCCCCCGCAGTCTCGACCGTCGTTCTGTTTTTTAACACTACCTTTTCCCTTGAGCTGGGACTTTTTCATCTTGCCCTTGCTGCTAGCGCCCTGTCCCAAATCCGATGCCGTCGTGCTCATCTTCCGGCATTTTGCCCCGGGCTCCCAGGCGTCCTTGTTACCCGTCATTCCGGCAGACGGCCCACTGTCCTTCTCACTCCTGTCCATGGCGGCCTTCCGAAAAACCGACTAACTGAAAGACTGAACCCCCGAAAAACTGACTGAGATTAACCCCCGGGAAAACTGATTGACTGATAGATTAACCCCCCCGAAAAACTGACTGACCGACAGATTAACCCCCCCGCAGAGCTGACTAACTGACCAAACCGACCGAGCGGCTCTTCTCGCGCCTGACGGTTAACCGTCACCGGACGCTGGCAATTTAAAAAAAGGGCGAGACGGCTCGAGAGCTGCGAAGGCGCGCGGCGCGTTACAGTAAAAACTCTGTGCCCTAATATTGTGGGCCCTACATCCGTAAGTACATCAATATGTTATACGCCGAATTATCATAATGAAAGTATATATGTGCGTATAAGTGTGACACATCTTTGAAAAAAAACCTTTATGTACTCATTATGGATATGTTCAATGCAATTCTGGATGCTTTTTTATTGTTTTTATTAAATGGTTTCGTTTTAGATTAAAATATAGAACATTGCAGCGCATATTGTGTGGACTAGTAAATACACATTCGCAAAAATCCAGAGCTTAAAATACTGGATACCCTAACAGACTTAAAACAGCTTAATCGGATTTATTTCACTCAGCCGTTAGGCGCCTTCATTTCACGACACGTAGCGCCCTCATGTGGTACGGTTGAGTATTTAAGAAATTTATAATTTCGTGTTTTACCAATCGCACCTTCTATTTTGCCTTCTCCGGTGCAGGGTCGCAATAAATTGCTCGCTTGTCGGGAGAAAGCATTTGGAACCTAATGCCCAAGGAAATGAAAGGAGAATAACACTCTTTCTTGGGGTAAAGAAACAAAACAAACGCGAAAGCAAACAAATCTGAATATTCTATAAAAATAGTAGAATCATAACCAGATCGTGGTACAAAACTAAAAACTCGGGACAACAAAGTTCCAGTTTCTAAAGAAAAAGAGATATAACAGAAAGAGTAATGAATGTGAGAGAACGTTCAATGATGACACGTTAAATAATTCCTTAGCTGGACATTTTATTTTCAGGAAGAGCGCAGAAAAGGTCCTTGACAGTCTGAACAGAGTCTGGTCACAACCTGGTTACAACCTCTTCCAATACTTCTACGTGCCCATAGGGGGAGCTGCAGAGCTGTGTGGAGACATCTAAACTTTCTCGAATAGCAATAATCCAGTGGGTGCTCTTTGAGACGTGACTTTTGTGTGATCTTTGAATGTACACAATGTCATTTTAATACACACACATATAAAGATGCTTAATTCATAGCTGTAAGCGCTGTGTATAAGTATTTACTAAAGTAACACTCAACCAACTGATATCATCGGTTTGTAGATATAGTGTGCTGAGTTGCTAGCCCACTACTTCTAATATTGACTTAATAAAATGATAAATATTTTTTTTCTCTGAAAATAACTGGCTTTAAATAGAAACATACATGCATGGATGATATGATTGCTCCTATACAGTAACTAGCATGACAGAACGGTGCTGACTTCATACCCCCTGAAGAATGGAATTATGGCCTGTTCTGCTCCTGGAGCCTCACTGCCTCTATAGATTTATAAACCAATCAAACGTCACGGAAACTTTCAAGCACCGTTTTGAAAATGGAACAAAATCACGAAAAGGAGTTTCCCACTTTTAAAACCAGGTCCACCTACCTGGATTTTATTCTCACTTGTGCTACAAAAAAAAACGCACAAATTACTTTTTAATTTGACTCATTTAAGCGATCGTTCAGGTTCTTGTTCCGCAGTTCATAATATTAACGGGCAGTGCTGACTTGCATGCCACTGACGTTTGGAAATTTCACGGAGAAAGTGGGGTTTGAACGGCACACTTGATCACAGTCTCGGTGCCCCTCCACTGAAGTGTGGAATGTGCCATGACACAGATTTCCATCGTCTGACGAAATACATTGTGTCACGTCCGATGCATCGCAGGGCTATTTATATCTGCTTCAGGTTTCATAACTCAACACCCCCTGCTAAGGGACGCCTTTTGATTGCCAGAATCCCTTATGGAAACACCGAAGAAGAGGGAGGCAAGGAGAAAATGGCACCAGCTGTTCATAAGGTTTTAGGATTTAAAAAAAAAAAAAATGTGGCAAATTATCAGAATAAGGCTCACTCCTTGATTTTGTTTGGGCAGATTCAGCTCCAGAAATAACCACAACCCCCTGAGAATATTTCACAGATCAATATGGCACAGAGGAAGATCACTGGTAATGCAGCCAACGTACTTTCTGGAGTGTTTTATCCTTAAAAAATTATCTGAAGCGGCAAGCTGTAAAGAAGGCAGCGTTTCTCAACCCGGTCCTCAGGAACCCCCAGCAGTCCATGTTTTTGCTCCCTCCCAGCTCCCTGCTAGACAGTCTACATTCTTGCTAGGGAGCAAAAATGTGGACCGTCTGGGGATTCCCGAGCACTGGATTGTGGCACCCTGCCTTAGTGTACTTGTACCTGCATTATCTAACATGCTGTCTGACCTAAAGGGACAGGAGGAATGGAGCAGAGAACATGGGAGGAGATGCAGAAACGAGTGAACCGGGGGCCACATGCTCAGTCCTACTGCTGGTTGGCTTGCCTTACAAGAGGTAGCTTCTTAGGACTGAGATTCACTAATGGCCACTCTGCCGCCATCTGACAGCGATTCTTCCTCCCAGCTGCCCCGTGGAGCTTCACAGCTGCTAATGGACTGTACTGCTTTCATTATTAATGGACTAAGGCTCCCAGGCAGAGGAGTCGATGGCCAACTTGCATATGCTGCGATATGCTGGCCTGCTACCGGCCTGATACCGGCCTGCTACCGGCCTGCTCGCTCCCCTATTCCGGCTAACATCTGGGACATCAAGATGAATTGGACTGCAGTTTAGTCCTTGTTTACAGGAGGGCAACAAAGCCATTTGAAGGATTACTGGGATATCAGCAATTCGTCCAATCCCTGGCATCACGGGGATAAAATGTGAAGGTAGGTTAATGAAACAAGTCAGAGGGCCTCCAAATTGTAGTTTGGCCCACCAGACCCAAAAAAATAAGTTCTTGTGTTAATTAGAGTTATAGCCCTTCAGGACCACTTCTCCCACTATTTGACCATCTATCTTCCGTCTGCTTATCCAGTACAGGGTCGGGGGGTGGGGCTGGGGGGGCATGCACACTCACACACACTAGGAGCAATACAGAATCATCAATTCAGGTGAATGCACTACATGTCATAAAAATGCATCAACTTATTATTGTGCCTCATGTTTATATTAAGGCTGCCAAGGTTTGAATCGGCTGTTGAAACCGGTGCCTGAGGAGCAAAGGATGCTGGGTACAGCTAACGTGGCATGACAAGCCTTGTGCTCCAGGAAGACGGACTGGTGTATCCGAGTCGTCAGGTACCGTGATCCTTTGTGCATCTCTACATCTTTCTCACAAACAAAGTAAGGCAGAATGTGTTTAGTCCTGAAACGGTTTAACGGTGGTTTTCAAAGGGTACATATAATGTAAGATCATCGTAAAGCTATCGCTAGTACAGTTCCTACCAAAATGTACATCGTACAGCAAACAATTTCCAGCATTTAAACATCTGAAATATATTAAGAAGATCGACAGCTTTAATAAAGTGGATAGCATAACACATAAAACACTGAAGGCATGAAACGAGACTTAGGTTAAAAAGAGATATGCTTTTTATTTAACAAAAGGGCATTCTTGTCACTTTACATTTGCATGAACCCACAGTCCACATTAACTCTTCCATCCCAGCATGTCTGTGACTATGATTAGGTATAAAATTCATCCACGTGGACTTGGTTTAAACTTCAGAAAGCAATAGCAAGATAAATATGGTCATTTCAAATGCAAGATGTCTCAGGGTGTGATAAAAGGCTACTATTCATCTGCGGAATGAAAAAAGAAAATCAGGTCTTTTTTTTTTAGTGTATACAACATGGAAACCGCACACAAACACACACGCAGACACACGTAAAATCCCGGGCGCTCCTGGATTCAGGTAGAATGCAATCATATTCCAGTGTTACAGCTCCCAGATTAAAACTATAAAATGTATACACACCGCAGCAAAGTAAACACTTTTTTACATTTTAAAATGTAAAACACTACCCAATGTATCACCAGGCACCCCTCACCGAAAAAAAGCAGTTTCACACACCCTCCGGACGGAACCGTAACAGATCCTGTGTATTTTGAGACAAATATGTAAATTTTGTCTTTTTAGTAATCATTTTTTAAAAAGCCACAGGTTGTGCTCTGTGGACAATAGAGGCTTTTCATATCATAACCATTTTATTCATATTTTTCTTATATGAATAGCTTGTGAAAGTTTAAAGACCATTTTGATTGAACGTGGCAAAGTAACTTGCCAAAAGAATATATACATGAATAATAGTAATAAAAGATACTAGTTCAGACTATTCAATTCAGTCGTTTTTTTGCACAATATCTTCTCTCTCACAGCGGACAAAGACGACTCCGATTGAAGCTGTGAACCGCAACAAAGTGAGGTAATTTGCAGAGTAACGATGATGAGGAAACCCCACAAAGACAGGGAAAGGCGGCTCAGACGGCTGCTTTCCCCCCCATTGCAATCCAAGCGGTTCTGACACGTCGTAAAACCCCAGCAATACTAGAGAAACAGCAAAGGAAAAAAACAAAAATAAACAAAAAAAAAAACCACCGTTCTCGTTTAAAATTGTGTTCCAGACAGTTTCAAGACAGGTTCTCTCATGTGTACTACCAACCCCCGCCCCCCCACCACCCATTCTCTCACACACACACACCAAATGGTAACAACATCCAGTATTCAAGTAGTCTGAGTGTGCAGCTCCTGTTCTTCCTCGGGTCTTCGGTCGAAAAATGTTCAGTTTTTTTTTTTTTTTTTGCATCAAACCTCCATGTGCCCTCATTTACCGAAGCTACCAAAATCGGCAAAGGCGTCTTGTCTGGGGTGCACCATGGCGGGGGAGGGGCCCTGCCCCATGCCCATGACGGGCATGCCGGTGACCAGCGTACCTGGCAGGCCCATATTCATGTTCATGTTCATACCCATAATTCCTCCCATGGGCATCATGCCCACAGGAGCCATCCCCACGGTGCCCGTTGCCATCCCTAGGGGTACTGCGCCACCTCCGCCCACCAGCATGGGGTTCACGGGAGCTCTGAGGCCAGCCGCCATCGGCTGCATGTTGAGGTTCATTCCAGCAAAGCTCTGGGCCATGCTGCTCATCGAGGGTTGCATTCCTGGGCGACACCAGAGGGCGCTGTTTCAGTAAGAGGGCGAGTCCCCCAGAAACACTGCGCTCAATCACACCCAGCATCCTTTGCAAATCCCACAGTACGTGCGATTCTTAAGCAAGGACTTTAATTAGAGGAATTACAGCAAACAGTATGAGCAAAGTGACCAGAAACAAACAACTTTCATGTAGGAAAATAGGGAGCAACGGAATAGAAAGTGCAAGGATGTCGGGCACAGAGCTCTGGAGAGACCAGGCAGAAGCAGTGGGCCTCACCTTGGTGCTGGATCATAGTATTGAGGGTGGGCTGGGACCCCTTGGGCTGCTGCATGCTTTGGGGCAGGAAGTCCAGGCTGATGTTGACGCTGGGATCCGACCACGTGGCCGGGAAGGAGCCCTTACAGCCGGGTTTCTGAACCCCCATCTGCTGTGACAGCAGGCTACCTCCGAAGCTCTGCAGAGGCTGCAGGAGAAGGATCAGAGTCAGCCAGAAGCAGGAGAAACTGGGGCTTAAGGGCTCTTCTCAAAGGTCCAACACTGAAACCACTCAGGCAGCCTTGGGATTTGAGCCCGAGACCCCGATCACAGGCCTAAACCACCGAGACACAGACCTCCAAACTAGTGATGGCAAAATGAAGCTTCATGAACCATTTGTTGTACTTTTTTTACCCCACTAGATGGTGCTCTTGGTTTGCTTTGGGGCATGCTTTGAGTCCTTTTATGAACAGAGAGCGCCATCTAGTGGGGTCAAAAAAATACAGCAAATGGTTCATGAAGCTTCATTTGCCCATCACTACCCCAAACACCTCAATGTGAATCATATACATCAGGTAAACCCATCAGCTGAGGGTAAGACCATACCTGAGACCTAGACAGCGGGATCCCCACGGTGCTGCCCATGCCAAAGACCATGCTCTGGGACGAGCTGACGGCCGCCTGGGACGGACCCATCAGGTCGAAGAGGTCGGCTGAGGGCGCCTGGGCGGGGGGCGCAGGGCCGGGGGCCGGCGGCGAGCCAGCGAATAGGTCCGCCGCCAGGCCGTTGAGGGGCTGGGAGGACGTGGCAGCCGGCTGGGTCCTGGGGAAGGCGCCCCAGTCCCCGAATTCACCATTTCCACTGGTGCCTACAACACAACAGAGCAGTGAATTGATAGAGAATGGCAGCAACTTACAGCTACCTGTTACAGATACCCCTTACCTTATAATCATATTAGAGCAGTGTTTCTCAACCCAGTCCTCAGCGAACCCCAGCCAGTCCACGTTTTTGCTCCCTCCCAGCTCCCAGCCAATCAGGAACACCGAATAGCTGGTACAGGTGCGCTGGGAGCTGGGAGGGAGCAAAAACGTGGACTGGCTGGGGTTCGCTGAGGACTGGGTTGAGAAACACTGTATTAGAGAGAGCGTGGAACGCTAAAGAAAACATGGCACTCGTTTTTAAGTTTACCGTGGGAAGACTCAATTTGCAGGTATCATAATGTTTTCCCGATACAGTGATGAGAGGGCTTCCTGTTTTTAAAGGAATCCCCATTTCAGCTTTGGGTATTTCCCATATTCTCCGGCGAGTGCCATTACTGGCATAGCTCCAGCCATTACACCGAGGTGGAAATACCGGTAAATAGTCACTGGGGGAGATCGGTGACCTTGTGGAGGTGGGACACAAGCCAGCACCACACCAGATCCACACAGTGCGCAGTGTTTTCAATCCTTCATCCCTACTGACGGGCAGCCTGCGTTTGGGACACTGCGAATCGGCAGTAGAATTCCGTGACTCGATACAAGGTTCTGGTTTGAGGGACCCGGGTGAGCTGAGGGGCACACTCAGCATGCTGCTGCCAGTGCCATGCTCTCGCTCGTGGCTCGAGACAGACGGAGGGGCATCGTGCCTAAGGGGATGTGAGACCTGCCGGCCCTTGTTATCCTCAGCAGGCAGAATATGTCCATCTGGCTCGCTCTCTCGCTCTTCAATATCTTAGCTAGTTTGAGCAGCCGCCCCGTACACGCATACAGACAGACACACACACAGGCTCTGTCAGGTTCAAGGTCAAGCGCAAGGTCGACTATTTCACTTAACCTTGCCTTAAATATCGAGAATTGAAATGAGACCCATTTATATCTTCTCATATTCATTAATATGTCAGGGCAGGGCAGTGTGTTTGCTTTATGCTAGTTTGGAGCTAGGGGTCTGCTAACTGTACCCCATAACAGCTAAGTAAGTACTTACCACTTCCTGAGGCGAAACTGGCAGAGGCCGCCGGGCTGGAGAAGTCAGCGAAACCCCCAATCAGATCTGCGCTGCCACCTAGAGGATTGGAGGAATAAGTCAGTGACATGTACAGAGGGTCTAGGTCAATGTCACGGCGGGGTGGGGGAACACACCCAGCCTCCTGAATGACACTGCACACAGACTCAAGGTGCATCAAAAACATTATTCACAGTAAAGGTAGATGTTTGGGTTTTTGTGCTTCCTACTGAAGTATATAAACCCAATCCGCTCTGATTGGACAGATGCTATGGTGTGCGTTCCAATCCTAAGCTGCTAAACAGGGTCTGGATCACGTCTGAGCTCCTGTGAAATCACCACTTCAGGGCTTGGCACTCAGTCCTTTCCTAGGTAATGTCTCGAACCAACATTTACTAGTTACTGACTGAACACCAAAAGAAAAAGGAATCTTGAAAGAAAGAAGAACATTATAATGCCACATTAAACCTTAATCTGCATACGTCAGGGGTGGGGAGCCTGATCCATGGAGGGCCGGTGCAGGTTTTTGGGATGACCTCTCCATCAGCCAATCACAGTGGGTCTCCAGGATTGGAGTTGAGAACCGCTGCTTTATTATTGGCTGATGGAGAGGCCATCCCAAAAACCCGCACCGGCCCTCCATGGATCAGGCTCCCCACCCCTGCCATACGTCAATCCACAGCAGCAGCTACATAGAAACATGACTTACTATACTCTGTGAAAACTGCTGCTATTACAAAATATAAATAGTACATTCGTTCATTTTTCTGCCCCACCGCCAAACTCCACAATGAACCGGAAGCTGTACTTTAGAAACTTCACTAAAAAATATGTACTGTAGGAAAGGGGGAGGGGCACCATCCTTTCAGGATCATGTGACAGACACGGCTCGCTCCCATTCGCTCCACCCATTTCTCACTCTTGCCATCCCCTCCCATTGGTGAACCCGCCCCTCTCCCCCAATGTCATTGGTCATTTCTCACTTGCTGGTGCCGTCTGAGTTGACCCACAGTCCACTATCAGCAGGTCGGCGAGGCCGCTGCTTGTTGACTGGCTGCCCCCAGGCCCTGTGCTCTGCAGTCACGAAAGCAAAAAGATGCTCAAACACATTCTCTAGGAACAGTGTGTCATCCTGCTTATCTAATAAAAATATCCTAACTAAATAAAATAAAATTAATAAATAAAATTTCAGTACTTCTGCCGGACACAAGATGGCAGCGTGACCTTTAAATAGAGCATATCTGCCACCAATTCAACAGCTGACTTTAATCCATGCCCTACTCTCCTGTCACCCACATGATGATATTAAGCTGAACATGCCTATTCAGGGTGTGGCATTGCACTGGTTGCAAAGGGGTGTTAACTTAACAGGGTATCACAGTGATGTTTGTGACTGGCTGCCTTTGGTAACTCATCCAATCCGTACTGTTGTTTATGCGGCATATTGGACATCACGACTGCCATTCATAAAATACATTTATTATTATGGCCGAGGATGCATTTCTAATAGTGATCTATTGCCACAAACTTAGGTCGCAAATGTTCAGGTTTTAATTGATACAAAGTGAAAGTGAAACTAAGGTCACAAATGTTCAGGTTTTAATTGATACAAAGTGAAAGTGAAACCCAGCATCCCCAGTGCAACCTGATGACAGTTCTGTACCTTGGTGACCTGTGAGCTCCTGTCAGGGCTACTCATGTCACCGGTGTAGTGGGCGGCGGCCCCCAGGTCCACCGTCTTGGACAGGCCCCCGCCCCGTCTGCGTGCTGTGGAGGACTCAGCAGGCTGCGTGCTGACAATGTTCTTGGGTGTCGTGGATTCCTCCTCATCCCTGAAGTCTGACTTCCCAAGCTGTCCATTCCGGGACACCTGGTCCTCCTCATCGCTGAAGGCCAAACCACAGAATTACAGAAGCACTGGAGAAGCCGAAGCGGTTTGGTTCTCATGGGACTGATAACATCTAAGTCAGTGTTTCCCAATCTGGTCCTCCATGTTTTTGCTCCCTCCGAGCCCCCTGCCAGACAATCCACATTTCTGCTCCCTGCAAGGTCTCTATTGGGAGGTGGGAGGGAGCAAAAACATGGACTGTTTGTAGGTCCCTAGGGGTCGGATTGGAAAACACTAATCTATGCAGATTCCATCCATAAAGATGTACTGGTTTACAGCTTCAGTGTACCAGATGTATTATGTGAGGCTAACAGTA